CCCCCCCCCCCCCCCCCCCCTTTCCTCCCCCTTCGACCCCACACACACATCCTCACACACTCCACACCACACATAGCACAGACATCTTGGGTCCGTATTCAGTCATGTCTTGCCAATTAGCACCACGTCAATCTTATGTCTCTTATTTAACTTTAAATGTTGAAAAGGAAATATCAGGTGAAGGAAACAGTGAAAAGGAGGAAAAGAATAATAAAATGGGAAATGGGTATAAAGAAATATTTGTTATAGGTAAGAAATGAGCTTAGCGTATACGTTTAATCCACTTATCAACAGAGTAAGCAAATCGTATTAGCAAATAAGCGGCATTCCATTACTAATCCCCTCTTGATAAAATTGATCTTTTAAGCAAACTGTTAAAACGTGAACCTTTTGTATGGCTTCTTGCGCACTCTGCTTCGGCAGTGCATTCAACGCCTCATCACTCAGCTTACCGGCAGTTTCAGGACTATCGCCGCACAACACCTGTAATTCCCGGTATTTCCCGTGAAAAAAAAACAAACAAACAGATGGTAAAGCCAAATTTTTCGGTAAAAAATAAAAACAACAGCAAAATTAAGAATAATCCCACATTACTCGTGTAATTTTAAGCATCACTAAGTGAAACATTTTTGAAATGATAAATAAATAAAGTTCGTGAACCGGGATAACAAAGCACGGGCATTTCTAGAAAAGAAAAAAAAACCAAATTTGTTATTACCCTCCCTTTCAGCCCTCCCCCCCCCCTTTTCTCCTGCAAGCCTTATATAAATTCAAATAACTCTCGTTTATATTTACATAAATTTAGGCTCTGTAGTTTTAGATATATGAAATTAATGCCTATAAAGCCTCACTTTCGAATTTCACTGCAGCTGCAGATATCCCAGCTAATTCTGATGCTTATGTAAGCAAAATTTTAGTTTTTGGTCACGCATGACACAGCTCTCACTGGATTTCTCCCGCTTTTTCTTCGCTCACAAACAAATCTTATGTCCTCCCCCTCTCCCCCCATCTCCCTCCCACAATCCCATCTCACCCCTCTACCTACTTCAAGATGAGCGGAAAAGAAGGCGAGGGGTTGCCTTCGTCCCAGGAAAATACCGCTGAAACTTTGACTCAAAAGAAAGCTACCTTAACGCATTCCTCTGCAGATTCAGAAGTTGCTTCGAGGTCATAGCCACCCTCCAACGCGAGCACAACTCGTCCATCCGCATAATTCATCAGCTGCCGAGTAAAATATCCAAACAGTTGGGGAGATAAACGATACCTAAAGGAGAAAAAAAAGCAATAATTCAAAACGAAAAATTGCTCAGAAGCTATACAAAGCAAAAATATACGCCTAAGTAGAAATTTGAAAAATGAGAACGCACCCTCCAAGTGCTTGGGAATGGCCACGTGCAGCATCGAAGCCAGCTGACACAATGATAAATGTTGGCTTGAAATGATTTAACACCGGTATAACGATAACACGCCAGGCTGCCAGATAATCGGCATCATCCATCATTTCACCCGAAAATGGTACATTCACGGTGTAGCCCCGGCCTGCGCCAACACCCACCTAAAAATGGTGCATGCACGAAGGCTACCGGCAATATTTTTCATTTCACTTCACTATGCATCGAAATATGCAAAAAAAAATGGATTTGAAGAAAACAAAAAACAGCAAAATTGGCATTTAAAAAGTATATCTAGACATAAGTGGAAAGAGGAAAGATCAATGGGAAGTCGAAGGCTAAATGTCAGCAAGCAGCAATACAATAAGCCCACACAAGGCAGTTATAATAAATAAATGCAACTCAGAAAGAACGCCTAGGCTTATCAACCGATTCTAGCAACCTAGATTGATCCTGGAATGGCGCAGGCGCGATAGATTGCAGCATGAAAAAACAGTATGAAAAAAGAAGGCAAGAGTGAGATAAGACGTTTCGGTCCATTAAGTCATATACGTCTTAACTCAACACCGCTCAACAGGCCCTCGTCAGCATGACGGTCGCAGTGCTTAATGGAAAAAGAAAAAGAGAAAGACGGCAGGAAGAAATTGAAGGAGAAACGATATGATGGTAGGATTAAGAGTGAGAGTGGGGGAAAAAGGAGCAAAAAGAGGATTTTAAAAGAGAAATTTGTTTTAAAAAAAGTTATTTATGAGAAAGTTATTTTCAAGTTGCAACAACAAGTAAAACCATTTAAGCAGAACGAATAGCTGAATGGTGCCGAGTTTTTAAAAATTACAGGGAGGATGCAAAAAAGTCTATATATAACAGCGCATTCCTCAAAAATTTTCCAGTAAGCCTGAACAGGCGTCAAAATCGTCTAACGTTAGTGTGAAAAAAGAGAACACAGGCTCAATAGTGGCAAATTATTAGCTCAATAAAATATTTTTTGCGCACCCGCATTTTTCAGGCACAAATCCGTACAAATCTAAATCACAAACCTCGGTGACAGCTCCTGTGCCGGGGAAAAAATTGCCATTATCATGACGATGAAGCGAGAGATAAAGCACAGAAGGGTCGGATTCGAAACATAGCTGAGTACCATTGCCATGATGAACATCCCAATCGATGACTGCTATTCGTGAACACTGCTCCACGCATCGCTAAATTTTATGTCAATTTTATGTCAATAAAAAAACAAAGTTAGAAACTGCATCAAAATATCAAGGTCAGAACTTTTTCGCATTTACTCTCTAAGAAAAAAGGAAGCACTCGAAAGTAGCTCGAGTCGTCGTAGGATGTGCTCTGGCAAAAGCTGTCGATGGCCCCCTCATAGTGTAAAATAATTTCCCCCGCCAAAACTTTTACGAGGCCGTACCTGTTATCCACGAGTACCAAAAGGCTGAATTTAAATTTGCGGGGTCACACCTAGGTGGGAAACATTCCCCTAAATTTTCAGCTTCCTAGTTTTTGTGGTTTCCGAGTTGAAAGTTGGGAACAAGTTGCTGCGGACACACACACATACGCACACACACAGACAAACCCGTGACAATATGCTTTTTGTACTGCTGTTACACAGCATAAAACGCATTAAAAAACAAATTTAATGAAAGCAGATGAGCTGCTGCGTTTGCTAAATAATACAAATAACTAGTAGTTTTGGAGAAAATGAAGGAGAAAACGAGGAAGAACAACTTTCATCAAGACGTCATACTCAAGCAGAAACAAAAATGGAAAGGAAGGAAACACAGAAGCCCAGCCAAAATCGAAAAAAAAAAAAAAAAACTGGAAACTACATCGATTTCGAGAAGGGACGCGACAGTGAAAAGCAAATGCCCAGTAAATTTTTTTTTTTGATCATTCTACACGAAAGCTAAAAAAACTGTCTTCAAACAAGGCAAAGCTGAAGATATCTACTTCGCTGCGATCCGATCTTCTTGCTCTGCCAAAAATACTCACCTGTTGCAAATATTTGGCAGCAATTGCCACGTTGTTGAAAAAGCAAAAACCCATTGCTTGATCGTGCTCGGCATGATGTCCTGGTGGCCGTATGCAAGCAAAACCATTACGCAGACGTGATTCGGCGACCTAAAACCGGTCATGCAGTCATCTATAGCTATTGTGTAAAGAGAAGCAGAAACTGCAGCGATCATGGCGCTACGAATAATTTTTCCAACAACAAAACCTCCATGATCGAGGTTGGCTAACGTTCTTATTCTTTTAAATCGTTTTCTAAAAAACCTCTTTTTGAATCTTTTTTGAGACCTTTTTTAAATATTTTTTTAATCTTTTTTCAATCTTGTTTTCCCTTTTATTCCTTCCTCACCCACCCTCACCCTCTCAAATCCCACAATCATAGCCATTCCTTTCTTTCCTTGCGTCTTTCTCTGTTCTTCTTTTCCTTTTTCATTACCGCCATACTGACGAGGTCCAGTCGCAGTGTTGAGCTACGACGTACATGACTTGATGGACCGAAACGTCTTATCTAACTCTTGCCTTTTTTTTCCATACTGTTCCTGCTTTCTGTATTCAACGGTGCCTTCGA